TTTTCTGATAGTCCAGGCAAAGTGTTCAACTGCTTAATGTTCTCAGCCTCTACAGCAGCTATTCCAAAAGCCCACCTGACTCCCTTTGGGTCTTTGCAATAGCTGTTCTGGAAGAAGTCTGTGCCCAGAATACACGGGGCCTCTGGGCCGGTCACAACAGGATGTTTCTGCCACTCCTTCCCAGTCAGGCTCGCCTCGGCTCCCAACAGGGTCAGTTGCTGCTATTCCCCCCCATCACCCCAGCAATGGAAACAGGTTCTGCCCCCACGTGCCCTGATGGTATCAGGGTACACTGAGCACCAGTATCAACTAAGGCATCGTATTTTTGTGGCTCTGATGTGCCAGGCCATCGGATCCACACCATCCAGAAGATCTGGTTTTCTTGTGCCTCTTCCTGGCTAGAGGCAGGGCCCCTCTAGCCCTGGTTATTATTTCTTTCCTGGACATACATGGTAGAGGTACCTTCAAGGGGATCTGACAGATCATACTCAGCAGCTTGGTCATGGGAGGTTAGGCTACCTTCACTTTACTGGAATTCCCTCGGTTAGTGTTTCCCTCCTTGAGCTGACACACCTGTGCTGCCAGGACAGAAGTGGGTTTCCCATCCCACCTTCCCATGTCTTCCTCATGGTCATGCAGGAAGAACCATAGGTCAGCCCCTGGGGTGTACCCTCTCTCTCTAGCTGGGGGACGTTGGACTCTGACTTTGGGACCTGTGACTTGCATGGGTGCTGCGTTGATCTTACTCACCTCCTCTCTCATCTCCCTCATCTCCTCTGTGAACTCCCTAATTACAGCAGAGACATGAGCCTGCACTGGGCCATTGATCACACTCTCATAATTTCTAAGCTTGTTGGTGACAGAGCCCACTGTCTCTCGGTTGGTATCAGCATTAATCATTGCAATGAAGGTGGGGTATTGAGATGGCCCCAGATCTGCCAGACTCCACAACATTTGCCCTGTGCACCTGACCTTATCAGGGTCATTATCATGCTGTCCATCCTGCCCAAAGAGTACCTCCAATACCACCACTTCTCTCAGCTGTTGGATCCCTTCCTCAAGGGTCTTCCAGTGCATTCTATGGTGGTGCTCCTGCATTCTCTCCCTGTGGACCAGCTTCTCTCTGACATTCATTAAAAGCCGCTCCCAGAGGGAAAGGGACCCTGGCTCCCTTACAAAAATCTTATTCATACCTGAATCCTCGGTCAAGAGTCCCAAATTCCTTGCCTCACCACATCCAGTTGGCTGCCTGTACCCATAAGGTCCCAGACCTGGAGTAGCCAGGTTATATAGGCCTCATGTCCCCGTTGTACAATGTCTTTGTGCAGATTACGGAGACTTTCGTACGTCAGGGACTCAGTGATGATCTCAACCATTGGCTCCTCTGTGGGTTGTGAGGGCCCTCCATTCTTACCCTAATCTGGGTGCTCTGATTTAATCTTAGACCTCGTTTCCACAGGGGCGACTGCTGCTGGCTGTGACTGCCTTTGCAGTTCAGCTGGAACCTGGACAGTTGTAACATCTGTGGGTTCTACTGCTGCACTATTAGACTATCTCTTTGAGGCAGGGGGAGGGTTTCTCACCAGCTGGGAAGATGTATTCCTTCAGCATCTGGCCCATCTCACATATCTCCTTTACCAGAACCTATTGGAGTGAGAACGTATTGGAGTGACTGACGGGACTGCCTTGGTCTGTCTGGTCTTGGCTGCTGACCGAATAGGGGCACCTGTGGTGTTTTGTGCCCAAAGACGCTATTCAGTACCTGTGGTCGCAGCTGAGCACGTGGGGACAAGTCCAGGCATGCCCCGAGCTCCAGGGCTTGCGGGCTGGAACTTGCTGTTGAGGGGGTCACTCCTCAGGCCTTCCTGAGCTGGTGGTTCTTTTAAGACGAGGTGAAGAAAGGAGCAGGTCCTGATGGAGAGTTTTTAATCCAGAGTTTTTATTTCGGTGGCACAGCCTCTGAATCTTGCAACAACTCCAACAAACTCTCCAACAGAACTCTCCACCCAAACCCCTACCTTGTGGTCTGCTTGCCCTTTTACCTGGGGACTCGGCAGGGGAGGGAAGACAGGGACCACCAACCAGGTATGGGGGGAGGGGGTCTCAGGTGAGAGGGACACCTGGGTGGACCAATGGCCCCCCAGGGGGTGGAGAGCATCCTTTGAACCTGCCAATTGCTCAATGCTCTCCTTGGAATTTCTGGGCTGATAGACAGTGCCCAGCAGGAGTCAAGGGGGGCGAAAGGAAGAGTGATTGACAACCCACCTGGGGAAGGAAATTTCAGGGAGAAACCAAGGGAAACCGAGGCAAGCCATGACATCACACCGCAACAAGAACCCCCACCCAATTTGGGTGGTTCATATCTGAGGGCTGTGCGGCAGGCTCAGGCTTTGGGGCAGCAGCATCCCTAAGGTCTGGTGTAGTTGTCAAGGTGGTTATCTAGGTTAATCTTCCTTTATCTCTGAATGCTAAATAGAACAGGCATATCAGTAACACCAAACATTGTATGATATCATTAGTGTTTAGAGTGGACCTGAACCCTTTGAAAACTGAAAGGGCAGACCAAAAGAGATGGCTGAAGAGTTGGGAGAAAATTTTCCCTGGTGTGATTTCCTCACAGGAGGTACCATTATTAAAGTAACCCCAAAACCATAGTTAGTGTGTAATAGCTGTGAATCCATGTGCCTGCTTTCCAGAGGAAGTTAAAAATACATGAATTCCTCACCTTATTAACCCATAAAGCAAAATGGATAAGAGCCACAGCAGCCTTAGTTATAGGACCCATGTTTAGATAAGGGCCTCCAAATGGAAGAAATAGAGCCACAAGCACATGCCACCCAAACCACAGTAAGCTAGACCACATGGCGACACTTAACGAGGTTTCTATATCAGCAAACAAAAATTAGGTAACTAAAGAACTGTTATTTCATTTATTCACTCTTTTTCTCTCTATATTCTCTAGCCCCACAACAGGCACCAAAAATCTGCCTTAGTTTCAAAAGAGAGGTGACTGCTTAAGAAAGGCAGGAGCCTCCCCTGAAATGGAAAATGCAAACCCCCTCCCTCCAAATGGTTAAAATTTTTAAATTAAAAGGCTCTCACGCAAGAATATGGGAATAGGAATAACAGTTCATTACTAGGAAAACAAAAAAAAAAAAAAAAAAAAAAAAAAAAAAAAAAAAAAAAAAAAAAAAACCCCAAAAAAAAAAAAAAAAAACAAAAAAAAAAAAACCAAACCAAAAAACCCACAAATGTAATAGAACAAACAAAAAAACTATGGACAGAGTCAGAATACAACTTAATACCGTGTGGGTCAGGGTGGTGGCAAGCAGTCCCATCCCATGGTGGCTCAGCCCTCCTGCAGTGCCAGGTGTGGTACTGGTGGAGCAGGGATCCTGGAGAAGGGTGTAGTTTTCCTCTGAAGGTCCAGGGCTGCTGGAGATGGGCCTGGTCTTTCTCTGGGAATGCAGGGGAGAAGAAAGCTGCTCCTCTGGGAATCCAGTGGGGAAAGGCTGACTGTGGTCTTCCAGATCGCTGATTCTATCCAGATAGGAATGCTTGGCTCCTCCCTCTGGACAGAGTTTCTCACAGGGGGATGATGCAATTTTATCAACCATGCAGAGACACTCACTGGCCATGAACAGAAGCTATCTCCATGGAGGGAAGATTAGGTGTGGGAGAGATAAAGAAAAAAAGAAAACTGCCCAATGAACAGAAGGGAACTCTTCCACAGACAGGACTACGGAAGAGACTTCCCATTGAACAGAAGAGAATGTTCCACAGACAGGAATAGAATACACACACACCCATTTCCAACCTCAGACAATGCCCCTGAGGGGTGCCCAGGATGTGGACTGGCACCTTGTGTCAGGGCAGTGCTTCCCTGTGCTCTGTGCCATCAGCATCAGGGTGCTGCTCAGTGTCAGGGGAGTTTGTTCATGGGTCCCTGGGTGTCCTGAGCTCTCATTCCCAGGAGTGGGTCAAAGATCACTTTGAACATGTAATTTTGTCCTGGGTTGAGAAGGAAGTGAGTTTTTTGGGAAGTTGAGGTCAAAACCAATCAGTGGTCAGATTTGAATATTGGCAGCTGGTGTGGCCCCTGAAGACATGGACCGCCTCTGAGAACACAGGGGGTTAAAAGGCAGAGAAGTCGCAGGGAACTCTCTTGGTTCCGGTCCATGAAAGAGGTGGGACCTCCCCTGCCGGGCTGTGTGGCGGAGGGGAAGCCATGCGGCCTGGGGGAGGTAGGCCGGAGCCTTGGACAGAGAAGGGGGGTGAAGGCCTTGCAGGATGGAAGGGTGGAGGAGCCCTGAGAGGCATTGGGCAGCCCCCTCGGGGGACAGAGAGAGAGGGAGAGAGAGGGAGAGCCGGGGCCTGTGCTACCTTGGCATTTGATCTCATGTGCTGGCAGCTTGGCTGGCCAAGAAGAAGAAGAAGAAGAAGAGGGGGTGCGGGCCGAGAAGGTGCCCGGCAGCCGTGGGAGTTCTGGGCAGGCAGAGCCCAAGATTTTAACCCTTTTGTGGGATGATGGAAACCTTACAAACGGTGATCCTCCTCCCCCACAGTGCCCAGCTTCCCGTGGGCAGCCTGGAGCTCTCCATCCAAGCCAGCAGATCCTGCTGCCAATCCCACTCCAGTGTCCCAAGCCCCTGGCCCCATCCTGCTGTGCAGAGAAGCCACCTCCACACATCACCTGACTGGCGGGCCTTTAATTGCCTTTGGGGTGATCCCTACAGTTCCTTTGCCATAGCACATTTCCTGTCCCTCCAAACCATTTCCCACCCTGCATCCCTCTTCACCTGCTTTGGTCACGCTGACAATGGCCAGGGGGTCGCTGGAGAGTCCCCAGGGGGCTCACACGGTGCCAGGGCTCGTGCCAGTGCTCTTGGGCCCCGGTGCAGGTGCCAGTGTTGCTCTCTGGGCTGGTGATGGTGCTGTGGCCATGAGAACAGGGTCCCTGGCCACAGAACCCACAGCCCACCCCTGATGCACCCCATCCCCTACATGATGTAGTAGGAATCCCAGTCCTCATGGACGATAATCTTCTCCACAGCCACGGCTACAGAATCAGCCTCATCAGCCTTTGACACGTCCTGCCTGCCCAGCGCCACACGGTAGGTCATGGAAGAGCTGCCAGGGAGAGAGGGGGTGTCAGTGCCCACAGATATCTCATCCTGCGGGTACAGATGCCCCCCAGCACCCCAACACCCACCTGATGCAGTGGGCAGCTGTCAGCACCCACTGGGGGGCAATGAGGGTCCCGCCGCAATAGTGGCTCCAGGACCCAAAGCGTTTGTACTGCAGCGAGATCTGCGAGGGCAGAGGCACAGGGTCAGAGCAGAATGTCCCCATCCCTGTCCCCATCCTCGTGCCCATGCCTGTCCCTGTGCCCCCTCACCTGCCATGGCCAGCTGTGGGCTACAGCGTCTTCACCGCCCACCACGCGGGAGCTCAGCAGTGGTGGCACGGCCGGCTGACCGCATCCATAGGCTGTGGGACAGCGGGCAAAGGGACATCAGAGGCTGCCTGTGCCCCCTGCCCTGACCCTTGCCCATCCCCTGCACCTACCGTAGCCCAGCAGCACGACGAGACAGACGGCTCCCAGCATGGTTGTGTGGAGCAAAGGTGCCGCAATGGGGCCGCTCACCCCTCTTATAGTGTCCGGACTGCCGGGGACCTTGGAGTGGCCCTGCCTGCCGCTGACATGTGGGGACTGTCCCAAGCTGTGGGCACAGAGGCTCCTCAGCCCCATCACCTGCTCTTATCTGCCGCTGACATGTGGGGACTGTCCCAGGCTGTTGGCACAGGGGCCCCTCAGCCCCATCACCTGCTCTTATCGCACTCACCGTCCCACCTGGGAATGGTCACATCTGCCCGTCATGTGCTGGCACCATGCTGGGACATGGTGGGGACACCTGGCCCTGCTCTGGGAAGGGGCAGGTTGCCTCCTGGGGCACAGGGTCCCTCCTGGGGCACAGCTGTTGGGCAGCCCCCCACCTATGATGGTGTCAGTGAGGAGCTGGGCAGCCCTGCTGCCCCCCAGCCCTGAGCACTGACTCCCCCAGGGCACTGCCCCCTCACCCCACCACCCCTGAGGCACAAGGTCTCCTTATCTCACTCTTGATATGGTCAAGAGCAGCCAAAACCCCAGAGGTGTCACAGATTGGGAAAGGTACAGGTATCAGTTGTGCTGCCGATGGCCTTCGGTACACATCCTAACACCTGGAACGTCCCTGGTGCTTCCCAAACCATTGTGCCATACAGGTGGCCCAATGAGCCACAGATCATCCCTGTTCAGTGCCACCATCTCCAGTGGGAGTCGTGTGCCCATGGTCACACCCCACTCCCCATGTTCCTTCCCCCCACCGAAGCCCGTGTCACTGAAATGCCCATCCCAGAGCTGCACCCTAGCAACCAGCACTTAAGAAATATAATATTTATTTGGGATTAAATTAAAAAAAACATAACGCACTCCCTACACCGCCACCTGGGGGACATTGTGGGACAGGTGTGGGTTTTTACAGCCACCCACAAACACGAGAGCCTCAGTGACCCATGCCAACTACTTGTGGCCACCATGCTCATCCTGCCAGGCTGAATACAACATAAAAAAAACGTAATACAGCCCCATGAGCCAGCAGCTGCCTTTCTGTACATCTTTGATCAAAATAAAGAGAGACACAGCTCCTGAGGGGCTCCATTTCAGCTGGGTGGGCACGCATCCCCAGCACCACACACATACACACACACAAACACACAGAGCCCCTCCACCAGCACCTGGCCCTTGCCATGGCTTTTTTCACTGGTGTCAGACATAGCAATGCCAACAGACGCTGAGTCAGCATGGCCACCAAAACACCCACCACGGCCAATGCGCAAGCCCCCATCCTGCAAATCTCCCAATGCATTCACAACGTAAAACAGTCTGGGCACAGGTGTCCCAGGGACAGACATTCTGGACATAGCTCCCCTGGGACTCAGCAGCAGAAACCCCCAGTGCAGCTGTAGGCAGAGAATAGGGTGCTGTTCAGGGTGGGGGACACGCTGGGGAGGTGGGGGGTGCAAACAACACCTACAGACACCACAGCAAGAGGGGAGGGGGAGCCGGGGCTGACTGGGCTCTGCCAGCAAGGTGGGCACTGTGCCGAGCCCGCGCCGGGATCCTGCCAGCAGCCCAGGTGGCACACGGCTCGGGCATCACTCCCGGCACCGCTGCCACGTGGCACAGGCAGTGCTGCCAGTCTGGGCACTGCTGTCCAGTCCTGACTGGCCCTGTCACTGTGTGAAGGTGGACTGCAGCTCCTTGAAGGCTGCCTTCCTCTGCTTCAGCTCCTCTGCCTGCTTCTTCTTCTCCTCCTGCTCTGCTTTGATCTCCTCCTCAAACCTGCTGGCTTCATTGATGGCTTGTGCCTGTGGATAGAAGTGTTCAGCTGCGAGCTCTGCCAAACTCTCCTGCCCACCCCAACATCTCCACCTCCTGCCTACCCAGAACCAAACTGCCCTGGTGTATTGCCATCTTGCAGTGGGGTCTCCTGACCCTGCCTCACCTTGGCCTCAAAGAAGTTCTTGGCGCCTTTCACCCCCTCTGTGGAGACATCGATCTCAGAGAGCCGGGCCAGGGCGTGCAGCCCACTGTCCTCCTGCAGCTCACCCGCTGCTGCCTTCCGGAAAATCAGCAGGAACTGCGAGGGGAGATGGTAGCATTGGCTCCCTGAAGACCTCAAAGCCACCACAGCCACTGCCCACCTTCTCACCATCTTGAACAGTGGCTGGGGACATCTCCCTGCCAGCGTGGAGCCTCCTATCCCCTCACCTCTCGAAAACTGAGCTTGCTGTCCAGGTCTTCATCCACCTCCTTAATCATGTTCTTCAGTCCCAGGTGTGTCTGTGGAGCCCCCAGCTTCTCCATCATCAGCTTCAGTTCCATCAGGTCAATGAAGCCATCTTTCCCTGCGTCGTACCTGCAGGATGGTGGCACAATCCTGACACATCACCACGGGGTGCAGAGCCCACACAGCTCCCCACACTGAACCCCCAGCAGCAGACCCCTGTGTGCTCTCACACTAGCTGGGAAGTGAAGAGGGCTCAGCAAGGACTCGGGCATTGATGGCCTCCAGCAGCTCTCCAGACCACAGGGAACTGCCTCTGAACCGCTAACAACCCTCCGGAGCATTATCCAGGATCGTGCCTGTTTCCGTGCGGCACTTGGCAGGAGAACCTGCCAGGAGGCTGCCAAGCCTGCTGCCAGCTCCCTGTGCCAGGAGCCTGAGCACACGCTCCCCTTGGCTGCAGCATGGGATAACAAGCCATGGGGCTAAGCCCACCGGGCACCGCTCCCCAGTTCACAGTGAGCTCTGCTCACTGATGCTACCTACAGACCTATCAGGAATGCCCCTCCTCAGACTCCTGCCTGTGGCCCTGCCACAGTCCCCTCCAGCTTCCCCGCAGCCACTCTGCTGTTCTCTCCCCTGCCTGCGCACCACGGGCTGTGCCAGCAGCGTGCTGGCGTGGCACAGCAGGATCTCCATGGGGAGCCAGCACAGAGCCACGCTTTGTACAGTTCCACACGTTGTAGGTGGGTAGCTACACACAGCACCCGTTGTGACAAGGCTTTTTTTTGTATCTTGTCACTGCAGCAGCCACGCAGAGCCCCGGCTCCCCATGCCGCAGGTCCGTGACTCATCTGTACCTCCCCTGCTGCTGTCTGCTCCGTCCATGTCTCCAGCACCTTCCTGATCTGCCAGGGACCCCAAAATGGGGCTGGTCCTGCTCATCCCTGCCTACTGCTGCCATCACCCTCAGAGTGGGACTGTGGGTACAGATCCCACATGATTTTTGCCTCTAGTATCCCTCTTGGAGCACAGGATCATAGAATCATGGAATGGTTTGGGTTAGAACATATTTTAAAGATCTGCCATGGGCAGGGACACCTTCCCAGGTTGTTCCAAGCCCTGTTCAGTGTCCATTGGGCCTTGGACACTTTCATGGATGGGGCAGCCACAGCTTCTCTGGACAACCTGTGCCAGGGCCTCACCACTCTCACGGAGATGAACCTTCTCCCAGTATCCAAACTAACCCTGACCTCTCTCACTTTCGAAGACTTTCCTCCTTGTCCTGCCACTCCATGACCTTGTCCAAAGGCCTTCTCCATCCTGCATCCCACAGAGTTTCTCTGCAAGGGACGAGTTGGCTGGCCTGACTTTGCCACTTCATCCCATGCATGCCACCTCCCCAGATGCAGGGCACTTCCATCCTCTCAATCCCCTTCTCTGTTTTTTTGGGATACCAGCATCTTGCATCTCCCAAAGGGCATCATCTCCCCTGTGGAGAGACAAAACCCTTCCCTGCTTCACTTTATCCTCTACAGCTGGATTGTCACATCCCCAGGACAGCAGCAGCAGGGAGGACAGTATGGCAGGGCTCTGCTCCAGAGCATCCTTCCCTTGGGAAACCCCCAGCTCCCAAACCTCCCCAGTGGCTCGCAGCCCCGGCGCTGCTCCTTTCGCTGCAGCGAGACGCCGCAGCTGTCAGAGCAAACACGTCTGCTCCGAGCGCCGCTCCCGCCTGCGCGGCGCCGACACCCGCCCGGCCATCTGCGCCCGGAGCACCCCGGCACGGCCACCCATCGCCTCCGGCACCGGGAGCGGCCACCGTCCCCCCGCGGGCCCGGAGCACGCTGCCCCCGCCCAGGCTCCCTTCTGCTGCAACGCACGGCTCGCAGCAACCTGCGCCTCTGGCTCGCTGCCGTGTGCTGGCGGGGGGTGACAGCCCCCCACGAGGACACGGGAACAGGGAGACTCCGTGCGCCGCCAGGGCTGCTGACAGGGTGTGCCCGCACCCCACGCAGCCCCCCAGCCTTGTGTTACGGGGGTCACCGCCTCCAACTCCCCAGTTCCTCCGCCTCCCCGCTCGGGTCCGAGCGAGACCACTCAGGACGCCGATGCGGATCCTCCCCCCGGTGCCAGACGGGCTGAGGGCTATTGGCATGTCGCAGCCATGCCTTCGCCTGTACTGTATGTCCGCGCTTTCCCGGAGTCGCGCTGTCTCCACGCCTCCTGCACAAAGCATCCAGCGCGGGATCCATGGGGATGCTCCGGGCTGTCCCGTTTGCCCCCGGCTACTCCCGCGCATACCAGCGTGACCACGGTTGGAGTCACCCCGATTTCTGGCTCCCCCTGGAAATTTCCAGGGCTGGAGGCTCGCTGCCAGCTCCCCCCCTCCGAGGGGCCGGGGGCCGAGCTCGTGCTCCGAGTCACGCTCCGCCACGCGTGGTGGCACGCAGCGCGGGCAGGGATGCTGAGGACACGCCAGCCTGGCCTCTGCGGCCCCGGGAGCTGCAGGGATGTGGGATCCCTCAGTGATGCGGCAGAAGGAACGTGGGGGTTCCCGGTCCCCTCTTTCAGACCCCTTTCTCTGGCCTCAGCACCAGGGTACCCCCTCATGGGGGACAGGAGGTTCCTTCTGCGAGAATTTCGGGGCGCACAGGAACGCCTGCGGCAAGGAGCTGGGGGAAGGTGTCCCCGGCACCAATCCTGGGAGGCGTTTTGGGAGGAGAGGGGTGTCCCTGGCATCTCTCCTGAGAGGGGCAGGAGGGGCATCCCTCCTGCAAGGAATTGGATGTGCCTTGGCATCCCTGCTGCACAGAGCTGGGGCGGGGGGAGCCTCCGACAAGGAGCCGGGAGATCCCTCCCGCAAGAGGCTGAGGTGCATGGGGGTCATTCTCACAAGGAATAGGGGGGTCCCACCCGTAAGCACGGGGCGGGAGGCGCTGGGACATCCGCCCTGCTAGAAGCCGAGATGCAGGAACCGGGATGTCCTGGGTGCCGGATGCCCGGTGTCTCCCGTCCCCCCCGGCGCTGCCATCCGGGGACCCCCCTCTCCCTGTGCCCCACACTCACTGTCGGAAGAGCCGTTCCATGTCGCGGAGCTGCCGCCGGGAGAACTCGCGGAACTCCCCAGCGGGGCTGAAGACGCGGCGGCCACTGCCCCCGGGCGAGCCCTCGCCCACCGCCCGTCCCGCGGGGCTGCCCGGCGCCGGCCCCGGCCGTGGCCCCCGGCCCCGCC